AAGCACAATTCAAAATATGATGGAAAAACGAAGAAAGGCAAAGACACAAAGGCAAAAACAATCCGTATCTAGATCTTCTAGTAAAAATGATCATATGATGCAGACTATTTTAAAGCAACTCCACTGTATTTATGCAGTACTCCACTGCTGAACATTTAGTTTGATTTGAACAAATCCTAAATTTTTTGTACATTTAAGTTTTCATCACTTTTTTGCTATTAGTAGTAGCACAAAGCAATCATAACTAGATAAAACTGATTTGAAATAAAATAATAAAAGGTTTGGGCAAAACCCCCATAGTTTTGAAAAAATAGTTTAAATTTTTTTAATTTAAATTTTTTATTGTTGACACTGTTACAAATGTCCCCTATTCCACCTTCCACTTTGCCTACCTCTATCCTAACTCCACCATCCCATCCTATTCCCTCCCTACACTATTGTCTGTGTCCATGAGCTGTGCATATATGTTTTTTAGCTAATCCCTTCACTTTCCTTTATCCAGTCACCCTCTTTCCTCTACCCTCTGACATTTGTCAGTCTGTTCCATTTATCCATGCCTCTGGTTCTATTTTGTTTGTCAATTTATTTGTTCATTAGATTCCATATATTAGTGAGATCATATGGTATTTGTCTTTCTCTGGCTGGCTTAATTCGCTTAGAATAATAATTTCCAGGTCCATCCATGCTGCCACAAAGAGTATGATTTCCTGCCAAAACCGGTTTGGCTCAGTGGATAGAGCATCAGCTTGTGGACCAAAAGGTCCCAGGTTTGATTCTGGTCAAGGGCATGTACCTTGGTTGCGGGCACATCCCCAGTAGGGGGTGTGCAAGAGGCAGCTGATTGATGATTCTCTTTCATCGATGTTTCTAACTATTCCTCTCTGTAAAAGATCAATTATATATATATATATATATATATATATATATATATATATATATATGTATACACACACAATATATATTAAAAAAGAGTAAGATTTCCTTCTATGTAGTATTCCATTGTGTAAATGTAATGCAGCTTTTATATCTAGTCATCTATTTGTGGGCACTTGGGGTATTTCCAGATCTTGGCTATTGTAAAAGATGTTGCTATGAACATAAGGGTGCATATATTCTTTCTAATTGGTGTTTCAGGATTCTTAGTATATATAGTACCCAGAAGTGGGATTGCTGAGTCAAAAGGCTGATCCATTTTTAATTTTTTTTAGGAAACTCCATACTGTTTTCCACAATGGCTGCACCAGTCTGCATTCCCACCAACTAGGGTTCCCTTTTTTTCCACATTCTCAATAGCACTTCTGGTTGGTGTGAGGTGATACCTCATTGTCATTTTAATTTATATCTCTCTGATGATTAGTGATGTTGCTTATTTTTTCATATGTCTATTGGCCATCAGTATGTCCTCTATGTAGAAGCATTTATTCAGGTCCTTTGCCCATTTTTGGATTGTTTGTCTTCCTGGCATTAAGTTGTATTAGTTCTTTATATATTTGGGGGATTAACCCCTTATCAGATGAATCATTGGTGAATATGTTCTCCCATATGCACTAACCACCAATACACTAACCACCCCCAATGCACTAATGTACAAACCAGCAGTGGTGAGCAGGGATATTCAACTTTAAACAAATGACCTGCCCATGATGATGAATTTCCCTCCACATCAGGCCCTTTGAATAAGAATAGACAGATGACAACTTGCTGTCTAGTAGCACTGTATACTAGCAGCTACAGATCTGAGACTGTATTATTTTCTCACGTAGGAATAAGAAATGGGCTGCTCTTTATAGTTTACTAGAGGCCCAGTGTATGAAATTCGTGCATGGGTAGGGTCCCTAGTGGCTGCTAGCTGCCAGCTGGGGCCTCTCTTCCCTCAGTTGGCTGGCTGGCCCTGTCCCCTGGTAGAACTCACAGTTGAACTCCTGGTCGAGGGGACAATTTGCATAGGCTTTCATTACTAATATATAGGATAACCAGGTTCATACTATCAAGTAACAAATTTAATAATTTGAATCTCTTCTACTTAAAAAATATTAGGTATCTTCTGCTCTACTAGCTCTTTATCCATTTTACCAATACCACATTGTCTTGATTATTGTAACTTTATAATTAGTCTCAAAATCAGAAGTGTTTTTTGAATTTCGTTCTTTTTCATTTTCTTTGGTTATACTACATCTTTTGCATTTTCATGTAAATTTTGGAATCAGTTTGTTAATTTCTACAATAAAGCCTGCTTAAATTTTGATTAGTGGAGAATTGCTACCTTAATGATATTGATTTGGCCAGTCCATGAACATGGTATATTTCTCCATTTGTTAGATCTTTAAATTTCTTTCAGCAATAGTTTGTATGTTTCAGTGTACAGGTGATCTTTTCTAGTCTTTTGTCACATTTATCCCTAAGTATTTCACACGTTTTGATGCTATAGCAAATTATACATTTTTTAAATGTCATTTTCCAATTGCTTTTTGCTAATGTATAGAACTATAATTGATATTTGCATATTGGTCTTTTGTCTACTACAATCAATCCAAACATAAAGGAATGGCTGATGCTTTTTTTTTTTTTAAGTTATAATATCAATTCAGCAGAATAGTCTTTTCAACAAATGGTTCAGGAACAATTGGATAGTTATATGCAAAGCAAACAAATAAACAAACAAAACAAAAAGAAACTGAACCAAAGCAATACTGCTATTGGGAATGTAAAATAGTGGAATTACTTTGAAAAATAGTTTGTCAAGTTCTTTCACAAATTAAACATCATGTGTCATATGATCCAGCCATTCCTAGTCATTTTCTCTACTAAAGAGAAATAAATGCCTATGTCCACACAAGAACCTACATGTGAATATATGCAATAGCCCAAAACCAAAACAACATAAATGTCCATTAACAAGTTAATGAATAAACAAACTGTGATATCCATGCAATGGAATAGTACTCAGCAATAAAAAGAAAGGAACTGTTGATACAAGTTATAGTGTAGATGGATTCTTAGAATAGTTACAATGAAAGAAAGAATCCAGACAAGAAAGAGCACATACTGTGGTTGCACTTATATAAAATTCTAGATAGAGGGGTGTCGAACTCAATCAGAGAAGGGGCCAAAATCTAAAATCCAGCCTAAATCGCGGGCCGAATGGTTTACTCAACAGTCATAAACTGTCATTGTAATGGAAACGCAGTGGAGTGCAGTGATGACAGCGCGGTGCGGGCCACATTGCAAGGCCTAGTGGGACGGATTTGGCCCGCGGGCCTTGTGTTTGACACATGTGTTCTAGAAGATACAACAAAGTAACAGAAAGCAGATGCTGTCTGCCTGGGTGACAGAGCCCTTTGGGAGGTAAGGAGTATGAAGGACATGAGGAAACTTCTGGTAGATGATGATTATGTTTATTCTCTTGATCTGCGGTGATTGATTCATATGTGTATACATTTAACTTTAAATTTATCAGATCGTTCAATCTAAGTGTATGCAGTTTATCCGTTAATTATCCCTCAGTAAAGCTGTTTAAAAAAACAACAACTAAGAAACATGAGGAGTTATCAGAAGTCAGCAAGAACCTTGTGAGGTTAAAGAGCAATGTTTAATTGATGAGCTTTAAAAATCTTGACTGCAGTTTTGCTCTCTGCACTTTGACAGCTCGTCTTTGCTGCTTTCTGACTAAAGCTGCACTTCCTTTCACATTGTGCAACTGAGTTGCCCCAGTCCACTGGCTGTCTCCTTCATCTCCTTAGGGGTCATGCAGGACACTGGTTAGCCAGTTGGGAGGACCTGAACAAATTACCAATATAACTCACATTTTCAGATGTGGGAAAAGTCAAAACACAGTCTCACAAAAATAAAACTTCATAGAATCCCCAGAGCTATGGAGTTAACACCAACTCTGCCAGGATGGATGGCTCTGATCAAGTACTGGCTAGACTGGTCTGACTGACTGACTGGATGTAAATGATTGGGAATCTTGCCTTAAACACACACACACACACACACACACACACACACACACACACACGGAAGTAAGAGCTATTATGGATTTACTAATCCCTGGGGAGTCCATGGATGCCTTTCAGTGGGTCCGTGACCCCAAGATCATTTGCAAGTTTTGTAAGTATATGCTTTTTCCCCCCTCTGGGAAGAGAGTACCTAGCTTTCATCAGACCCTCAAAGAGCTCCCAGACTAAAAAAGATTAAGAAGAGCCAACGTAGATAAATCCAGATCTATTATTTCTTCTTCCTCCTCTCTACCTCCCAAGAGAAAAGGGTATCCGCCCCTCATTCGGTTCTTCCCGCGGAGATTACATCTATGCGACCTACACCAAACCATCACCAACAATTTCGTTTCTTCGCCTTTGCCTGGGAGCGCTTTCACTTGCTGCCCCACTGTCCTGTGACCAGGCACCGTTCCCAGCCGCTTGAGAATTTGGAGTTGTTTCCAGATTCCCAGATGTGCAGTCTGCCCAACGCCTTTCCTCTCCCCAGGGACGCAGTTCCTAGCCGATCCTACGACTACCCACGCGCGTTATTTGCTTTTTTGTCTGAGGGTGTGGACGGGGCCGTCTTCCCGGACCTCCGCGGGGGACTGCCTGCTTTGCAACGCGGGCACCGCTTTCCTTCTGGGGCTCGGAGAACCGCGCTCACGGTTTCTCGGAATTGCTGTTAAAGCTCCAGCTCAGATACCCCATGGCAAGCCCCGGGTTTTCCCCTTTGCTTTGGAAATCGGGGAGAAGTCCTGTTAAAAGCCTGGTCTCGCAGCTCCCTCCCTTGGAGAGGGTCGGGGCGCGGGGACCCGCGCTCTGGTCCCCGCCACCGCTCCCTCCACGTGTTCCCCGCGCGCGGGTGCCGCGCCCCCTCCCCGGCAGCCCTTCCCCGTTTCGTATCCCCCCCACCCCACCCCCACTCCCGGCCGCCGAAGGTGAGGAGCTCAGGGCAGTCCCTCCGCGGCGCCCCCGCCCGCCGCCCGCCGCCCCAAAGGCGCACCCCTCTCCCTTCCCTACCCCGCGTCCGCGGCGGCCGGAGCAGCAGCAGCAGCAGCAGCGCCGGGAGGTCGCCGGCCCAGCGGCCCCGCAGCGGCGGGCGGGCCATGGCCTCACCCCCGCCCGCGCCCCCGCCGGCGCCTCCAGGTGCCCAGGGGTCCGGGAGGAGGCGACGGGCACGGCTCTCTGGACCGGCTGCCCCGCGAGTCTCATTCGCTTTCGCTTTTACTTTAGACCCCGGAGGGCTGGTGAGAGGTGAGGGGCGTGACAGCTGTGTGACTCAGCGTCCCCACCGCTCCGCGGGGAGCCGCCGGGCGGCCGCAGGGGTCCCGGCAGCCCCGGACAGTCCCCTGCGGAGGACCGGACCCCTGTCCCCGCTTCTCTCTGCGCCTCTCGGGACTCCCAAAGCGCCGTGGGTCTCGGGTCCCCACGCAGAGGGGGTGGGCGAAGCCATCCGGAAGCGAGGTCTTTCCAGTAAACTCGGGGCCGGCGGGCGTTCACACCCGACTTGGGTTCCAGTCCTTGACCTCGCCGCGCCTGTCTCCTCCTGTCACCTTCCAAGTTTCCCTTCATTCCCAGGCCATGGGCTAGTGGATGTGTGGCTCTGCGCTCCCCCCACCATTCTGATCCAATTAACGGTGGGGGAATGGACCTCATTAGTGGGTGGCCCCGGAGGTGTTGCCCAGGTGCGGATGGCCACGTCACCTGCTGGGGATCGCATAATGCCTGCTGGAGCCGTGTTTACTGGAAATTAGCACAGTATCACAATGAGGAAATTGACACTGGCACAAATCATAGCCATACTAGGATTTTGTCAGTTTCCTGTGCATTCATTTGTGTGTGTGTTTAGTTCTGTGCAATTTTGTCAAACACACACACGCCCAACTGACAAGCCCCTGCATCTGCCCTTCCAGGATGTCTACAAAATTGGTGGTATTGGTACTGTCCCGGTGGGCAGAGTGGAGACTGGTGTTCTCAAGCCCGCCATGGTGGTCACCTTTACTCCAGTCAATGTTACAACTGAAGTAAAGTCTGTTGAAATGCACCATGAAGCTGTGAGTGAAGCTCTTCCTGGGGACAAGGTGGGCTTCAATGTCAAGAACGTATCTGTCAAAGATGTTCACCTTGGCAATGTGGCTGGTGACAGCAAAAATGATCCACCAATGGAAGCAGCTGGCTCCACAGCTCAGGTGATTATCCTGAACCACCCAGGCCAGACCAGTGCTGCATATGCACCTGTGTTGGATTGTCACACAGCTCACAATGCTTGCAAATTTGCTGAGCTGAAAGAGAAGATTGATCGTCGTTCTGGGAAAAAGCTGGAAGATGGCCCCAAGTTTTGAAATCGGGTGATGCTGCCATCATTGATAGGATTTCTGGCAAGCCCATGTGTGTTGAGAGCTTCTCTGACTACCCTCCTCTGGGCCATTTCGCTGTTCGTGATATGAGACAGACAGTTGCTGTGGGTGTCATCAAAGCAGTGGACAAGAAGGCAGCTGGAGCTGGCAAAGTCACCAAGTCTGCCCAGAAAGCTCAGAAGGCTAAATGAACATTATTCCTAACAGCTGCCACCCCAGTCTTAATCAGTGGTGGAAGAACGGTCTCAGAACCGTTTGTCTCAATTGGCCATTTAAGTTTAATAGTAAAAGACTGGTTAATGATTACAATGCATTGTAAAACCTTCAGAAGGAGGCTAGTTGCTAGGAAGAGGAAGCTGGGCATTGCTACCTGACGTCATTACCCCAACAGTCAGACGCTTAGCATATTAGCCTTATATATTTATAGATTAGTTTCCTAAGACTGCCACAACAAATACCAAAAACAAGATGGATTGGATTGTCACACAGCTCACAATGCTTGCAAATTTGCTGAGCTGAAAGAGAAGATTGATCGTCAAATAATTAATAGAGTTAATAAAAGAATTTGGTAAAGCCCAGACACTGTGGCTCAGTGTTGAGCACTGACCCATGAACTGGGAGGTCATCAGTTGGATTCTGATCAGGGCACATGCTGGGTTTGGGGCACAATCCCCAGTAGTGGTGTGTAGGAAGCAGCCAATGGATAATATTTCTCTCATCGATGTTTCTATTTCTCTATCCCTCTCACTTCCTTTCTTGCCAAAAATCAACAAAAATATTTTTAAAAATTTGATAAAGAAGCAGGATACAAAATTAATAATATGTAGAAATCTGTGGTGTTCCAATACACTTATAACCAACAATCAGAAGGAGAAATGAAGAAAAAATTTCATAAAAAGAATAAAATAGGAATAAACTTAACCAAAGAGGTGAAAGACCTCTACAAAACTGTAAAACATGGAAGAAAAAATTGAAGAGGATGCAAATAAATGGAAGGATATACAGTGTTCTTGGATAAAAAGAATTAATATTGTTAAGATGACCATACGACTGAAAACTATTTATGGATTCAGTGCAAGTTCTATAAAAATACCAGTGTCATTCTTCTCAAAACTAGAACAAAAATCCAAAATTTATATGGAACCATAAAAGATTCTGAATAGCTAAAGCGATATTGAAAAAAGAAGAACAAAGTTGGATGTATCAATCTTCCTGATCTCAAACTATACTACAAACCTATAGTAATCAAAATAGTATTGTGCTAGCACAAAAATAGACACACAGGTCAATGGAACAGAATAATAATCCTAGAGATAAATGCTCACTTGCATGCCAGCCAATCTATGACAAAGGTCAACTAATCTAAATACTGAAGTAATGACAGTCTTTTAAATAAGTGGTATTGAGAAAATTGGACAGCTATATGCAAAAAAAAAAAAAAAAAAAAAAAAAAAAGAGAGGGAGAGAGAGAAAGAGAAAGAAACTGGATCATTGTCTTATATCATAAACAAAATAAACTAAAAATGAGCTAACAACTTAAATGTAAGGCCTAAAACCATAAAATTCACAGAAGAAAACAAAGGAAGTAATCTATCTGACATTAGTCTGAGTAATATCTTTTGAATAAGGAAAACAAAAGAAAAACTAAACAAAAGTATAGTGAAGAAAACAAAAGCTTCAATAAAACAAACAAAAAAAACCCACCAACTTACTGACTGGGAGAATTTATTTGCAAATGATATGTCTGATAAGGAGTTGATATCCAAAATATATAAGATTTCTCATGCAACTCAATAACAACAACAAAAATCCACTACGATAAAAAAAATGGGGAGAGGGCATGAAAAGACATTTATCCAAAGAGGACATAGAGATGGCCAACAGATTTATGAAAAGATGCTCAACATCACTAATCATCAGGGAAATGCAAATCAAAACCATAATGAGATACTACCTCACACCAGTCAGAATGGCTATTATCAAGTCAATAAATAATACATGTTGGTGAGGATGTGAAGAAAAAGCAACCATCATGCCAAGTTTGGGAAGCTAATTGGATTCTGTTTTGTTTTTTTTTTTAAACATATTTTATTGATTTTGTACAGAGAGGAAGGGAGAGAGATAGAGAGTTAGAAACATCGATGAGAGAGAGAGTCATCGATTAGCTGCCTCTTGCACACCCCCTACTGGGGGTATGCCCGCAACCAAGGTACATGCCCTTGACCGGAATCGAACCCGGGACCTTTCAGTCCCCAAGCCGACGCTCTATCAATTGAGCCAAACCAGTCTCGGCTGGATTCTGTTTTGATGTCTGAAGCTGGCCGCTGGGTGTATTGGTCCTGGGCCTCTTGGGAGGGACTCTGGTGTAGGCCAATGTCAGATGCTGTCTGTCCTGGCCCTTGGCAGCCTGTTTGAAGTTACAAGGGATCTAGTTTATGATTGCCTCTGTTGGGTTTGGGTGAGGACAGAAAGGACCAAGCTGCACACCAAGACCAGCTTGTTTCAGCACTGGGCCTAGGGTCAGGTCGGCAAAAGTCCTAAGGTACCCTGAGATCCATCTTGCCTGCCTACCCCTGCTGGCTGCCTGTTGGGCTTAGTCTCTAAAGAGCCTCAGGCAGAGTAGGGAGGATGGGGCTAGTGGATCTCCCAGGAGGGGCAGGGATGGGTATAGTCTTCACTCCAGAGTCACAAGACTCTGTCTCAGATTTTGCTCCAACCTTGACAGGGTGGAGCCACTAAGAATCTGGTGGGGCCTGGTGGGGCCTCTGGAGCAGGGAGATTGAGTCTGCTGGAAGCTGGAAGGGTGGTTTTAAATAAATAATTAAAAATTATTTATTTTTAATTTTTTTTCTTTATTGATTAAGGTATTACATATGTGTCCTTATCCCGCCATCCCTCCCCCCACCTGCCCAATCATACCCTCACCCTCGTCCCCTGTTGTCTGCACCCATTGATTATGCTTATATGCACGTATACAAGTCCTTTGGTTGATCTCTCCCCCTTACCACCATGGGAGGGTGGTTTTAACTGATCTATTGAGGAGGAAGTGCCAGTCAGGTTCCCAGGGAAAGTGGTAGGAATGGCCCCTATCTCAAAGCCAGACAACTCAGTCACTGATACCCCCTGAGTCTGCCTAGGCCTCTACACCTTGGCCAAGGCAGCTGACTCAAGGCAGGGTCTAAACTCCACAATGTGGGGTGAGAGTGAGTCCAATTGCTCATTTCCCCCACACTTTGCCCCCCCATGCCACATGAAGGGGAATGCTCCACTCAAGAAAGATGGCATCTGTGGTATGGAAGAATGACTCAGCACAAGGATTCTGGCAGCTTTCCCTTCAGCTTTCTCCACAAGCCCCATTTTCCTTACAAAAGTCTAGTCCACTCTGCCCTTCCTAGGGTGAGTGGCTGTGAACAAAATCTTGTGCATTGGCCCTTTAAGAGGGTGCCTGTGTTGACAGCTGGACTCTGTTTCTCCCTGGCAGACAGAAATCCTGCAGCTTTTCACAGCTGGATGTTATGTGAGAGCCTCTTCCCAGCAATGATGTTCTGGGCTGTGAGCCCAGCTTGGGGTTTAGGCCCCATGTTTCTGAGGCGGGGGGGAATCCCTCACAACTGAGAGAACTTCAGCTTTTACCTGTGGGAGCAGAGCCAGCCTTTTCTGTGTGTGTCTCTGCCCTTCCTACCAGTCTCAATGTGGCTTCTTCTGTAAATTCTTGTTTATTCTTCTTCAGCTAGCCTTCAGTTGGTGACTTAGGGTGATTTTTCTTTAATTTAGTTGTAATAACAGTTTGCTCCTGGGAGGAGGCAAGCATAGCTTCCACCTACTCTGCTGCCATCTTGAAATCTCAGTAAGGCTAGTGGATTCTTATTCTTCCTCTTCTTTCTTTTTTTTCTTTTCCTCTACCTCTTCCTCTTCTTCCTCCTCCCCTCCCACCACCTCTTCTTCTTACAATCTTGCTTTAGAATCTTAAAATTTTAAATTAAGATGTCATTCACATAACATAAACTTCACAAGTTTAAAGTGTATAATTCAGTGATTTTTAGTATATTCATGATATTGTACCACCAGCACCACTGGCAGATTCCAGAATATTTCCATTACTGGAAAAAGAAACCCAGTACCTGTTAGGAGTCACTTCCAATTTCCTTCTTTTGTCCCTGATAGCTCTAATAATCTACTTTCTGTCTCTATGGATTTGCCTTTTCTGAATAGTTCACATAAATGAAATCATACAATATATTATTTATGTCTGGTTTCTTTCACTCCGCATAATTTTTTTTCAGTGTATCAGTATTTTATTTCTTTTTATTACTACGGTAGATCACATTCTATTAAATAGATATTCCACATTTTGTTTATTCATTCACCTGTTTATGAACATTTGAATTGTTTCCACTTAAAAAATGTTTTATAAAGAGATAAAGGGAGGGGGGGGGAAAGGAACATTTGTAATAATATGAACAATAAAAACTTATTTAAAAAAAAAAGAGATAAAGGGAGATGGAGAGAGAAACACTGACGTGAGAGTAATACATGTATTGTCTACTGTAGGGGTGTCGAACTCAATCAGAGAAGGGGCCAAAATCTAAAATCCAGCCTAAATCGCGGGCCGAATGGTTTACTCAACAGTCATAAACTGTCATTGTGATGGAAACGCAGCGGAGTGCAGTGATGACAGCGGGTGTGGGCCACATTGCAAGGCCTGGCGGGACCGATTTGGCCCGCAGGCCTTGTGTTTGACACATGTGGTCTACTGAAAGGGCAGGGCAGGGCGAGGATGAGCTCCCGACTCCGCCCTGCAGGGCGGAGTTATCCCTAGCCCTCACCCAACCAATCAGGGTTAGCCGAGGCAGTGACATCACCACCGACTGGAGTAAAACCCATGGACTGGGCGAAATTCGCTCTCTCTTCCGCCATGCTGCCGGCATGGGTGGGAGGAGCCCATGCTAGCATGGAGAAGGCTCTTTTGTTTATTGCATCGGACTCTGCTCCCTGGTGGTCCTTGGGGATCACAAAGTCTGGGCATAACACTACCTCCTGCACACCCCCAGAAGGGATCAAACCTACAACCTGGGCAAGTGTCCTGACCAGGAATTGAACCGGCAACCTTTCAGCTCACGGGAGGACACCCAATCAATTGAGCCACACTGGCCAGAGTTGTTACCACTTTTTGGCTATTATGAATAATATTCTTATGAACATTCATGTACAAGCTTTTGTGTGAACATATGTTTTCAGCTTTAATGGGTATATACTGGGGAGTGGACTTTTTTGGTCATATAAGACTTTTGAAGGCCATTAAGAAG